GTGATGGTGTTGTTGAATGACTTTTTAAAAAACTTTTTAAAAGGCAGATGAAAGATGGAGATTTAAGGGGGGAAATAAGAAATTTGGGGTTTATATTTTTTAGGGGCGAGGTGTGTAGGGATTATTTGAAGAATGTCTTGATAAGTTTTGTGCTGATTAATGTTAACAAGTGACTTTTCAAAAATATCAAATGAATGAAATCAAGGCAAATAAAAGTAAAACAAAAACAAAGAAGGAAAGAAAGAACAAAGAAGAAGAAGCAAGCCCGCAAGCCCTCTTTTATAATCTGCCGTGTTGTAAATGGTCACACCATTGGTGATTTCTATCTCCCTCCAGCGAAGCCAGCTGCTGAGGAGCTGGGAAAGGTGCTGCCAGATCACCGGTCCTGCTGGAGCTTCAGTTGTGTTGGGGAGCAGTCAGGGAGCTCTGCAGGAGGAGGGCTGGCTGTACAGGGCTTAGACGGAGCCAAACGCAATATTGCTTATGGGAACATGTGGACGTAAAAGGAAGAAACTCAATATTAAAGGATACATACATATCTATTTTTTTTTAATATATAAACGTGGCTGGGCATCTAGCACACACCTGTAATCCCAGCACTCTGGGAGGTTGAGGAAGATCTCAAGATCAAGTCCAGCCTGGGTAATTTAGAAACTTTAGCAAGACCATGTCACAAAATTTAAAAATCAAAGGGCTGAGGAGGTAGCTCACTGGAAGGCCTGGTGTTCAATCCCCAGTGCCACAAAAGAAAAAGAAAAGAAAAATTAAAAGGGAAAAAGCAAAAAACAAAACCAAAAATAAAACCAGAAAGAGTGGTTAAAGAGGCAGAAGAATCAGAAAGCAATCAGATTCATGAAGTGAAAAACAAGAACTAGTTTCAGGAAGGAAGATGTTGTCGTCAGTAGTGTCCAATGCCAGAGATCAAATAGCCAAGGACTCAAAAGAGGTCATCAGCATCACAAATTAAGCAGTCTGTCTGAGCTTGAGATTTTTTTTCTCAGTATTTTTCTAGAGCAAAAAATTTTACAATTAAACAAAGAAATAACTTTTCTTTTTTCTCTTTGTGCAAGTCACAAATGAATTTGAACAATACAGACTCAGAGTTGTGGGGTGACTAATGAAAGACAAAGAATAGATATTAAATCTTTCCTGTAGTTTGGATGTTAAGGAGAGCTTGAAGAAAGGAATACTGGAAGTATGGCCATTAGAAAGAATTACAGCTGACTAAACACCTGTACATTTAGGGGAACGTGCATCTATCTACAATCCAGGTGAACTTGGTGATCTTAATGACAAACGGAATAGACAGACATCTTACAATCAGAACTAATGATGGCTTTGAATCCGGCTTGTGAGTTAATAGAACTCGTAATAATATAGAAGAGGGTCACATTGGTCCAATTAAATCGAACTGACAGTTTCTATAGTATGTGGCTTATTCCACATAAAATAGTGGCTCCTTGTACTTTGTATTGGATCACTGATTGAGGATTTGTTTCTGTGTCTCATCATTATAAGAATTAAACTGACTCACACTTGGGACGTTGGTCCTTTAATCTCTCCTTAAGTAAAAGAGT